TCTTCACATTCACCCTGTCTTCACGAAAGAAGAAGCGATGGCCGATTCCTGAAAGAATGCTTCTTTTGATTCAGTTCTTTTCAATGAACCTGTTTAACCGGTTTGCAAAGGCGGAGTAAAGTTTACGAATCGGACTGATTTGTTAAACTTAATGAATTGCAGTTTTTTTTTAGCTCACTGCAGGAGAAAAGAATACATTTATGTCTGATCGTCACACAAAGCTATCTGACTTTAGAAGACTTATAGCAAACAAATCACACGAACCACCTTCATAGTGAATTTGTGTCCTATTCAGTGTAATTTATTGGCCAAGAATATGTAAGACATTACAAATGTATGATTTTGTGTTCCATGAAATAAAAGTAATATGGAACTAAATCAGAGTGAGTAAATAATGAAACGTAGGCTTATGGGTAAATGATCCCTTTAACACCTTACAGACTAATTAAACCTCTATCTTAGCTCATACTAATACTTTGTACACTATTAGCCTGATTGTTCCTTAAGCTTCATACGTTTTTGTCAAACAAACACAGCGGCCATGAATTCATCCTGTTGTAATGTGGTAACGTGAACACTAGGGTGTAATGAAGATCATGTTTTAGCCCTTCCACAGACTTAATTCTTGCTGTCAGCTTATTTCTTTTTATTGCACATTATCCTTCTCCCAGAATCCACCTACACGTTCCCTTCCCTCCTTTTCTGCTCCTCTCCTCCAAAGCAGAGCTGGCAAGAGTTGCCAATGCTAAATAAATCAATTTTTTATGTTCCTTACAGCTCTCTTCTTCTCTCTTCCTCTCTCAAGTATGCTCTCGCAGTTCAGTTATGTTTAGAGGAGCTCTGGTGATTCATGCAGTTCAAGATATTCACCGTGCCCTATTTCTACCTCTCCCTCCTCCCCCCGCTCGTCTAATGAAGTTAGTGTGTAGCCTTTGCAGCGGAGAGAAGTAGATTAGAGCTGAGGTGATGAGGCAGAAGGGGAGCCTCAGTCCTCCTGTACTCAGGCCTGAGGAGGGACTGCTGGGGTCGGCCGGGATGAATTCCCTCTGCTCCTGAGGTGGAGATCTAATTGATTTTTGTACCCTGAGCCATCTGGCTTAAAGTGTGTTTCATTGTGTGTGTGTGTGTGTGTGTATTCACCTCTTGAACAGATCACCTCTTGAATCTGGTTTACGCTCACATTTGTTATTTAAAAGCACTGACTGCATGCTACTCTTTCAGTGGGGGATTCTAATTAAATTATTATGTGCTAGAGCATGTCTTTGACATCATCACCAAAAGTCATCTGTGCTACAGAGAAGAGACGACATCATCAGTATCTTCATTTCACCTGAGAATATGTTCAGCGAACACAGTAACCAAGGTGTCTCGTGCTGTTTTTCATTTTAAAATCAAAATGGTGGTGTTGAGGAGAGCAAAAATTTGCAAATTGAGGCAAAAAGCTGATATGGAGATGATATATCTTTTTGCTAACATTATGCTCAGTTTCTTCAGATATGGTTAGTGAGATCATGTTACAGCAGTGATGTTGTTTGTCTTCTCGTACAGTCTCCAAAGGAAGATGGTATTACAAATACTGTATATATCAGCAACATCAGCATGTTACTGTAATGGATATTTGTTATTTGTATCTGTCTAGTATAATATGCGTGTGTGTTTGTTTGTTAGCACATGTGGAGCCATGTTAATATTCAGCCCTGTGGCACAGTCTCACTGATGTATTCTCAGCTGGATCCGAATCAAATAGAAGGATCAGGTAAGGTTGAGTAAGGTTTTGCAGTCATTTGTACTATTTAAATAAACAGAAATGCAATTTCCACATGCAGCGAATGCCTAAGATGAAAATCAGGTGGACTGTTGCACAGGTGCAAATGATTAGAAGCTCATTCGAGAGTAAATGGAGGGGCACTGCCTTATATAAACATCAGAAACTTGTGGTCAGGTTTGGTCTTATAGCTGAGGAGTGTGGTTAAATCATGCTGAGATCAAAAGAGTTTGAAGAAGAAACTCTGCTGATGTTTGAGCAGCATTTTAAAATGACTTTCAAATGTTTGTCACTCCACTGTCCAAAAGAGAGAGAAAGAAAAAAAATCAGCTGGATATTTATCCAGCCAAACTGCACTGAAGTCACTAACCTCATGAAACACTACATGTGATGTCAAGATGGGAAAAGCCTCTCTTCTTATCAAGGTATGGAAGACTCTTACAGCATTTCAACTTTAGAGCGTTGCTAAGCAGTTGCTGAGTGTTTTTAGGGGCTGTGGATTACTGCTTATTGGTCAAAGAGCCCAAAAGGATCTTTTTAGTACTTTGCGAAGTCTCTGTACACGGCCCCTCCCTTTGGGTTTATTTATTTATTGGCAAGTTTTATCAAACAAACAAACAAATAAATAAATGCATAATTATTTATTTTCATTCACTGTAAAAAAAAAATCCGTACAATTTACGGTAAAAAACCGGCAGCTGTGGTTGCCGGAATTTTACCGTAAAAAATACGGTAGCAACGTTTTAGGTTTTACGGTTTTAACTTAAATTTACAGTTAAATACCGAAATTTCATTAACTGATATAATGTTAATATATCAACCTTATTGAAGTACTGAAATCTGTTTTGTACCTTTGTAATACACGGATAACCACCAAATGCAGGAGGTGATGAGAAAGTCACATGATGAACCAAAGCCCATCACAAGCAGCTTTTAAATAATACAGTTTTTCACTGTATAGAGTAGGGGAATTTATCGTTAACCATTCAACAGGTTTTTACTGTAGCATTTTTACAGTCTTTTACCATTAAATTCACAGTCATTTTTTACAGTGTTCTTTTTATCATAAGTCTTTGTGAGCTGCATTTTCAGTATCCATTGTGCAAATGGTGCTTTGATACTTATCACAGTTTAAAATTTGGGATTGGACTTTTTGGCAAATTTAACTTCACATTGGACCTTTGGACCATATTGGTTCATAATAAAACAGCTTATATACATACTTCCATAATCCATTCTGCCTATTGAGGGAATGCAGAGAAAAGCAAGCGATTTAATTTTGTTCTACATGATATGCAATAACCACCAGAAGCATTCATCTAATGATGACTCTAAATGTGAACTTCTGCTGTGCTTGTTCCACCTATAAAACTGTTTATTACAATCAAGTGTGCTGAAACAATCCAATCCAAGTAAAAAATATTGATGGGGAAAATCTCAGTGACTTTGTGAATGCAGCATTAATCCTCCTCATGCCTACACGAGGTGGAATCCAGCACTTGGCTAAATGAACATGATTTTTAAGTAAAGGGTTATGTTTTGAGCACAGATGTAGGCTATTTGTATTTGATTGTGCTATCCACTAAATTTCCCAGGGGATGTTCTGTTCTCTGCTTCCACTCTTGGCTTGTTTCTGTGCTGTTGTCCATCAACTTTCAGCTACTGCTGGAAACAGGGCTCTCGTTTCATTCTGTGCACACATTTCCAGCCTTAGGTGTGCTTTCCGGATTGTTCAGTGCTAAGTTGACATGGCACAAGGGTCATGAGAAAGCTACTCTGATTTTAAGTGTCCAGTTTGATAGACGTTCAGAAGACCTTTGCAGAAGTGAAGAGTGTGCTTCTAAAATTGCATTAAAACCGAAACATCCAGGTGCCACAGAGCTCAAGAATATTCTGCCTTCTGCTTTAACTAAATAATTTTAATTATTTTTATAATTAAATTTTAATTTTTTTATAATTATTAAGTTTGACATACAAACACAGTGAGTCTATTATGCATACAGCAGAGGGTTAATCATGCATCACATAATTTTCAGACTTCAGTCATATCATAGATTTATGTTTAGTTGCATTAATAATTCATGCTCTCCATCCAAAAAGCCACATGGCAACCTGATCCTAATCAATGGTTTTGGTTGGTGCTGAAGGATTGTATTCACAGTGAATGTCTCTGTATTTCCATCACAATGTGACTAAATTCATAAAAATCTCATCTTATGAAATGTATGCTTATAGGTCTTGTAAAAAATAATAATGTAATGGAAATATTCTAGAAAAGCTGTAAATGGTGAATTCTTGAAGTATTTTATTGTGAGATGGGGAGTCATTAAAAAAACCAATCAAACAAAAGGCTAGCACTGAAAAGGTTAAAACAGGGACATATAAAATACTTCGTTGCCTTGATGTAGACAAAGAGTTACAAATTGGCACAACCAAAAATAATAATAAAAAACAACACATTGATGATGTTTTGGCTTCATTAAAAGGGCAGCACAGTTTCATGGTGAAGGACAATCTTTTGATACAACAGCAAGGACTCATGCGTGTATATCATACAATTAGTTTTCAGTAGCTTCAAAAATAGAGTGGGGTAAGAGAAAATAACATGAAAGTGACGTGTAAAAGCTAACAGTTCTGATATACTTTAGGGGAGTTTTTTTTTTTTTTTTTTTTTTTTCAAACGATGCATTTTTAATGTATTGTATGGTTGTATTTTACATGTTTACGAGATTTGTCAAAATGCAAGAGTTCCTTCCCCAGCTTTGATTTCATTTATCTTCGAAATTATTCTTCATACTAAAATATATTATTGTATTAATACAAACTACAGTATTGTACACTACATTGTGTAATAAATAACCTTAAAGAAAATACAAAAATAAGACGCATAAATATAAAAGGTCTCTAAAAATGTGAAGTTATACTGATGAGGGATGGGAGGGGTAATACTGCCTTTACTGAAAAAAAACAAAACCCTTACACAATGTTCACTGAAACAAACAAACAACAAAAAAACTTCATTACAAACAAGACAAAATTAATACTGACAGGTAAAAAGGCTGACGAAAAGAAACGAAAAACACTAAAAGTGAATTCTTCATTGATCATATCTGCCTACATTTGTTACCTGAAGAAAAAGTGTCGTGCAGCTAAAGATAACAAGAGAAACAAGTGCACCAAATGGGAAAAATACTTCAAGGCTGAAAAAAAAGAGTTTATTTTTTCTCCTTTTTGCTCATTGATAGTCTTTCCTGAATTCTTGATGCAGTGTAGTCCTTACTGGATTGATCAAAAAAAGAGGCAGTCTTGTCCTTTAGTCAGGACTAGTGGTTCAGGTGCAGGGGTCCAAAATTTTGCTACCAAAATCAAAGACATGAGCCCCACGCGAGTGTGCTGCTCAGCGGCGGCATCATAGCAACGGCACAGCACTGTTCAATGGCACTTCCAACATGCATGTTTTTGCATAAAGGTGGATGATGGGTGGGGAAGGGACTGATGGCGATCACCTGGAACATGATGAAGACTGTCTAAAACCAGCTGTCCGGGATTACTAAGGTTTTTCTTTGATGTCATGGCTTTTTGGGATTCATTAAAGCCCTCCCACCATAACCACATCAATCTTTTAGCATTTAAGGCTCACAGTCCTTCTTGAAATGAGACGACAGACAGATGTTGTGCTAGCGAGCACTAGCGTGGCTTAGGAAATATTGTCTGGGGCGCTAATACTGGAAGGTAGACATTAAACAACACAAGGCCCACATAGGTGTTCCATAGGTAAACTGGGAATATGGTAGTGCACAGGATACTTTTTTTTTTTTCCTTCAAATGCAAGAAAATACTGAGTTTCGTTCATTGGCAATAAAAACGTATAGAAATCTCTCTCTCCCAACTGTACAGTTTTTGAGGGTAAACCGAGAGTGACAAAAAATTAGTAATACTGATGAAAGAAATTGACCCAAGGCGTTTTAGTAATAAAACTATTAGCCAAAACGTGTTTAGCTTTCAGTTTGTAAATGAGTCATTTTTCTTTTTTTTGTTTTTGTTTTTCATTAAACTTTGCATTTATACAAACCATACTCAAACACTGAAAATTGTCTTTATGTGGAAAAAGTAACTATTTCGTATTTATCAGGCACACCTGGGGGTTTATACACAGTAGTGGGTTTAAATGCAGCGTAAGAGCAGTCACGCTCTCTTCCTCATCTCATTCTCGACAGTCAGTTCTCAGGAAGAGAGAGAAACATCTGCGGAGAGAGAACATCTTTTTTGTTCCTTCAAATTAGTAACTTTGTAAAACAATGTCGTAAGGAATAAGGGTCGTAAAAACACAGTTGTGGCTTCTCTTCACTTCACGTCTCTATTCATAGTGGCTGTGTTTTCTTCATTTTCAATCCTTTTCTTATCGTCCGCTGGGTTCTCTCTTTCTGTTGTGTCCTTCATGTGTTCAAGAGTTCCTGTGTCCATGCCCTCCTGCGCCGATCGCTCCTCCTCTCCGTTTTCGTCTTCACATTCATCCTGCATTACTACGACTTTCAGTGTCTGTCCGTCATTTTCCTCACTCTCACCTTCCTCGTCACCATCTTCTTGTTCCGCCCCTTCCATCCTCTCTCCTTCCTGGTCTTCATCTGCTCCCTGGTCGTCTTCATCTCCCTCCTCTCCAATCTTGACCACCTGAATCTCATCCTCGTCCACTAAGCTCCCCGAGCCCATCTCGTCATCCTCCTCACTCTCATCCTCTCTGGTACTACTCCCCCGCTCATCTGAATCCAGGTGGGAAGGGGGTGAGGTCGCTGTGCTGCCCGTCCGGGGTTGCTCCTCGCCAGGATTGTCCTCTTCCTCGACTCCCTGGCCTAGCCCTTGGCCTTGAGCCTCTTTCTTACAGTAGGAGTATCGGTGGTTCATATGCTGCGAGTAGGAGCCAGAGTGGGAGAAGCGTTTGCCGCACTTGTCGCACTGGTACGGCTTTTCTCCGGAGTGCAGGCGCAGGTGTTCTATTAGGTGGTGCTTGTGTTTGAAGGCCTTGCTACAGATCCCACATTCATGAGGCCTCTTTCCTGCAAGAGAAGAAGTTGGACTTTTTTTGTATTTATCTTGGAGTACTTATCTCACTACCAGAATATACAGAGACATCCAATCATTTCTGAGCTTTTTTTTTCCTGCGCAATTGGGAGTTTCAGGTGAGGGTGAAAAAGTTGCCCATGTGGAAGTTGGTCATGCAAATTCATCATGGTGGTGACCAACAGAACACTAACTGCGCTAATGTGAACGCACCTTTTAAGGTGTTAAAAATCATGTCGCATCCACTGATTGCATCCACAGTTTAGGATAAATGCAGCTGATCGACACAATTACGCCACAGTATGATATATTAAATGGACTCCTTTTCATCAATTATATGCATGCTTTAAATAAGCTCAACTTATAAAGGGTCTCAACCACAAAAAAAAAAAAACATTCTTGTAATCTCTACAGAAAATCCCCCCACACCCAGCGTTCAACCCTGGATCTTTAAGGCATTAAGAATTGCTCTACATGTTATGTAGCCTGGACAATAAGACCAAACAATGAATCAAAACAAGCTGTGGTGCACAAGACAGGCCAGTTCCACTAAGTTATAAACTGTGGCTTCAGACAAAAAAAAAAAAGAGAGAGAAAAGACAGCACAATTTGTGGTTCAAGGCGCTGTGATGTCATTTGGATGAGTGCTGCTCATTTTTTGGCCAGGTATCTTAACAGTGAGAGGTGACCGGCTCTTGGCTTCACTAACTTCTCATGTTTTTAAAGCAAAAGAGGGAGGACGAGTGTAAATTACTAACAGAGAACTGATGCAACAGCCTGGGTTCGGTGTGAGAAGGTAATGTATTTGGCCAGCGGATGAGGGAAAATAAGTCACCGCACCCTCCAGCACGTGTAATTTAACAGTGGTTGGAACTTGAAATTCAGTTATGTTCCCTGTGTAATAGGTAAAATTACTGCAATACAATGTATTCTGTCATAAGTTCCCCTTCAATATCATTTCAAATCATATTTCTATGAATGCCCAGTCATTTACATATGAAACTGCTTTCCTTACGTCTACTTTTTTTCCCCTTGTGTGTGAGAATCCCACCTGTGTGTTCGTATTTATGGCGGAGCAGTGAGCTGCTCTTCTGGAAGATTTTGTCACACAGGTCACAGGCGTAGAGCCCACTCTCCGTCCTTTTCATCTTCTTCCTCGTTGGCCCCGAGTCGGAGTCTGTCTGTTCTTCCAATGTTGAAGTGACCTCTGACCCCATTTCCTGTTTCTCCTCCTACATTGTGAGAAAAAGCAGATCACTGTGATTTGAAATAATACAACCAGGGTAGATCTGTATGCACATACCCAGCTGAAATATACACATTTAAATGTTTGTTTGAGGCTAACGTTGTGGACTCATGCTAACATGCAGTGAGTGTGGGGCCCTCACCTTGATGCCGTTGACGTGTATAACGTTCTTTTGTGGTGTGTCATTCCCTGCTGGGCTGGAGGATGTAGTGGTGTAACTGTAAGTCAGCTGCGGGATCAGGATGGTCTGTTTAGTGGTGGTAAGTGCACGAAGACATTGCGCTTGTCCCTGGTCAGTGATAGCCACTAGGGTGGGCAGTTGAGTGGTCACGATGTTTATGGGATTGGCACTTGGTTGGCTGGCATATATGGCAGCATTGGTGCTTGCATTGCTGAGCAGTTCCTTCTTTGTGCAAGTCAAATTCAGTGGCTCCTCTTGAGCCGAGTAAACAGTGTTTACGTGACCGCTAGCCCCAGCAGCTGTAGCAGCAGATTTTGGTAGCGACAGATCGAGAGGTCCTTCGCCTTCCTCAAGAGTCCTGGCTGGGACAGGACCGTCGGCCGATAGGTTTAATGGTGAAGGGGATGTAGGGACACTCTCGATCCCATTCTCCCCAGCTGCTATACCTTCAGCTGGGCTACAGCATTCCCTCTCTCCTTGCTCCTCTGAGTTCATTTGCTTATCCGGCTCTGGTCTGGGTGATTCACTTCTAGTCCCATCCAAATCCCCAGGAGTGGTCTGCTCATCCTCAGCCAGGGGTGAGGAGGGATCTACAGAGATCTGTCCCAACTGCATCTTCTCAAACCACTTCTTCACCACCTCTGCTGGAAGACTGACAGACTCTGATATCTTTGCCAGCTCCTCCTTGGTGGGCTCGTTGTTTAAGGCAAAGTAAGCCTTGAGCAAGGAGAGAAGGTTCTTCAGGGGAGGCTGACCAGGACACAGTCCTTCCTCCAAGTCTATCTTCCCCTCAAGATTTTTCCCGTTTACCCTATGTCCATCTTTACCACAGTGCTTAAGTGCTGGGTCATTGTGTAAAGTATTTTTCTTGTCCACAGTGATGGTGGTTTTGTCCCTATTTGTCTTGACCGTCAGGTCCTCTGGCAGCTTCTGAGCCTTGCAGGCTTCTGTGTTCAACCCCAAAGGTTCCTTCTTTGGACTTTGAAAGAGTGCTTGGGCCTGTGAAGGGTCCAGACTGTAATTGATGTAGATCTTAGCACTGCCATCCTGATCTAAGATGGGAAGACTAATGGCCTGTATGACTTGCTGGGGTGCTTGGGCAATTCCCACCCCTCCTGCTCCAACGATTCCTGTCCCTGCTTGCTGCCCCTTAGCTTGCGTGCTTTCCAGCACTTGCCTGATGACGTTCCCATCCACTGCCACCTTCAGCACGTTCTGTAAGTCCCCCAGGTTGATGCTGATTGGGGATACTAGACCCATCGTTGGGAGCACAACAGCCTGTACAGCACCCTGAAGAGGGGCTGCCGCCCCACCCTGGAACATGCCATTTATGCCTCTAGCAGATGGGGCCACCACCACCACAGGCTTGTACTCGTAGTCCAGTGGCTCAGACTTGATCTGTGTCAAGGGAAGCTGTTCCTGAAGGGGTTTGCTATTGTCCAGTTTGTCTCTGACTTGGACCCCTGCCGTGGGGGAAGAGGTTGGCAGGGATGGGGAAGAGCACTGCGGGGTCTTAGCAGCCCCGGTGGCGGGAGAAGTTCGCGGCCGCCCGTTTACTGAGATGAGGCCAATGCACTTCTTACTGCTGATGTGGGAACTGTAGGAGCCGGAATGAGAGAAACGCTTCTTGCAGTTGGAGCACTCATAAGGCTTTTCTCCTACACAACACACACAAAAAAGACATGAGGAAAACGACAATTCACATATTGCTTTTACTGTTGAGGACACATTATGTGTTTCAGATCTGTAATGATCAAAAGACTGGATGGTAAATCTCTTCAAGTAAATTAAATAGATACTTAAGCGGTGGTCTTCAAAAGAAACTACAACACAAAGGATTTGTATTTTTTTCAAACTGTAAAGGCTATAAGAACAGTGTGCAGTGTTTAAAGGACAAACTCTCTTAGGAAGCCTTTGACAGTAAGTACTGTAAGTACTTTGAAGTACTTGAATGCTGAATTGCCCTACAAATTTGTACAAAGTGAACAAATGCACACACATATGCATGCTTGCAAACACACACACACACACACACACACACACACTGCAACCTACACTACTCTAGCATATTTCAAGCAGTCCTCACCACTGTGGATGCGCAGGTGTTCTTTCAGGTGGTGTTTGTACTTGAAGGCTTTGCCACATTCAGTGCATTTAAACTTTCGATTCCCTCCTCCACCTGACTGAGTAACATGCCGCTAAAAACGTAAGAGAGAGTGTGTTATAATCGGATGAACAATACTGCTGTCATTTATCTTTAAGTGTAAAATCTCATAAAAAGTGTGCTTGATTTTTAACCATATGCCCTTTATATCATATATAATAACAACATTTATATTTACAATTGACAGCTTTTAGTACTTTCCTGTAGGTATTGCATGAGTGATTTAAGCCTTGTGCATTACTAATGTGTTAAATGCAACCATTTTGAGTCTCATTTTAAATATTTGCCTTTCACTTCAATACACAATATTCTAAAATTGTAACCTTTCTCCCCCAGTTGGCCCCTAGAAACCATTTTGATCATTTTACATTTAACCCGGTTAATCAAAATGTCATTAAATCAAACTTCTTACAAACATTACAGAATAAGGACAGAATACCTGTTCTCGGCCAGCTTTGTGCGCGGTCATGTGTCTGTCAAGCTGTGTTCGATAGGCAAAGGTGTAGCTGCAGAGAGAGCAGCTGAAGTTGTCCTCGCTCTTCTCGTGTCTGTATTTAATGTGCTCCTTCAGTGAGGTGTAACGCTTGTAGCCACGAGAGCAATAGGGACAGGTGAGGAGCTGAGAAAATGAGTCTGGCGTGCCTGAAAGTGAGAGAAGAGCGTATATTACATTTTCATTTTTGGTGACTCCCTCTTTTATCTCTCTGTCCTTTATTTCCTCAAAAGCATATATTTGAAACATGAAAAAAATCTTATCTATCAGTAGTTGTAAATGTATGCAAATTTGCATGCAATAATTTACTATGTTGTTCAAATATATCTGAAGAGGTGTGCAAGTAGACTAATGTACTGTAAATCAAGGGAATGCAACTGCATGGATTTCTGGCATAGAAGATTATCTGTGAAGTGTGTGTGTGTGTGCGCATGCAGACATGGATCAATGCACTGGCAAATGAGAATATGAGAGTTAGGCAAGATCTTTAATGTGTGACACTTCCCATCCTGAAATATCTCCAGCATGAAGAGCTGAAGAACAGCAGCCAACATAAAAAGAACAAGGATTGGCAGCTGGGTAATCAAAGAAAACCACGGCAACAAGACAAATAATTACATGGCTGAACAATGGATTTCATAAATAAAAGAAACAACATGCTGGTGAAGCCCGTTACAAAAGCAACGTGAATAACAGGCCAGAGAAGTTTTGACAGTGCATATTAACAAAATAATAAAGCCACGGTTGACACATCAAGCACATCATACACACGTCATAATTTAATACATTTAATTTAAATGCCATTATAGTGCATACAAATTAAGATACACTATTGTCATATTTCTCAAACCAAATGTCTAAATGTAAGGAAACATTTATCTATCTTATATAACACAAATATATCTTGATCAAAATTTTCAAATGTCAAGTGGAAAATGAGCAGGAAATACCTGGACAGGTTTCTGACCAGCTCTCACACAGGTAACATATTACCTGTTAACAGGTAACATATTAACCTTCTCTCTCTGGTCAGGTGAAATGTTCTCTCGCTAGCACAGCAACAGGGACGTGAGAAAGTAGCTCATGTATGGGAGATTTGCACAGGTGTTGCAGATGTAACAGAAATCGTTTAACAGCCATTAGTGGTCAAGGAGAAGTGTGGCTGTTGTGTCTGTCTCCATATGCGAGATTCGAATGGCATGTGCATACAGCTGCAGGAAAAAGTATGTGAACCATCGTGTCTTCTGCATAAATTTCTCCAAAAAAACTAAAATACACTAATTACCAATGAGCAAGATGAAATGTTGAATTTGCTATTCAGAAGAAGCATTGTCTGATGTTAACTGAGACTTGTTATAGCACTTGTATATCATTGCTCTTTTGTTGATTTTGATTGCTTCCATTGTCCTTATTTGTAAGTCGCTTTGGATAAAAGCGTCTGCTAAATGTAAATGTAACTATGCTTTTTAAAAAAAAAAAAAAACTTTCAACGCTTAAGATTTGTTGACACAGGAATCCATAGCAATCCCAAGGGTTCACATACTCACTCTTGCAACTGTATTTATATTCATCTTGTGTGATGTTACCCGGTGAAGTGTTTACGATGTGTGTGTGTGATGCGTGCGTGTACCATTTTCATCATGTCCGCTGGTTTCTGGCGTGCCCTGTCGCGGTTCGTCTTCTGGAGCCTCCGGGAAGATGACGGCCGTGTCTCCTTGCTGGAGCATCTCCTCAACCAAAGCATCTCTGCTCCTCTCATCCTCATCTGACACACACTCCTCTTTCACTGCAACACACACAAATACACACTTACACTGATGCGCACGCTGTGTCTGTGGACAGAATATCAGTCATATGATACGGCCCAATGCACGATAAAAATATGAAGGATGAGTAATTTGAATGAGAGCGAATAACAGCCAAAATACTTAGTTGTGACTCACTATTAAACAGTACATTAGCTAAATACTCAGTGGATTTTGAGTGGGTATAAGCTTTAGATACATAGCTTCACGTATGTGGGTATGTACACCCACAGAAACACATATTAGTCCTGGATTGCACATTTACCTATTAAAAGCAAATGAAAAAGTAATGACTCTGGTGCAGCTAATTCAATTTTGGGCTTAATGCACAATCTGAGCTCAACGTCCCCATTAAACGAGCTTCTTTAATTTGAGAAATGTACTCTCATTCTCTTTTGCTCACAAACGAAAGATTGGCTGAACTAAAGATTGCAAATGAACAAGCAAAGGCTTCGGGAGAAACGGAGCCCTCGGGCGGCAGACTGTGCCTTAGCAATGCGCTCTCTCATGCGTATGCTGAAAATGAGTCCGCAATGTCAGCAATTACAACTAATGGCATTTGCTAGCGAGTCAAAACAACATTCGGAAACACCTGAGGACATTTGTGCATTTGTGTGTCGGAACGATTTAAGAGATCCTGCAATATGTGAGGACAAAAACAAAATGAAGAGGTGTTTTTGGTTTGTTTGTTTTTGTTTATGTCAGTGTTCTTTTGCTCGTTCTCGCTCTCTTTCTCAGCAGCTCTTTTTGTAGTGCACTCAACCCTTGTCAGCAGTGATGTCTCCATAAGGGACACTGATTCACACCGACACTGTTTATTTGTCTGACATGTAGGTTTTTCTCACCACAGTATAGACAGATGTCCTTGGTTCTATACAAAGATGACACATATCCTGTCATCAGTGTTATTTTATTTATTTATTTTTCTTATCATTATTTATTCTTTTTTTTTTGTTTTACCTTTTTTTTCACTTTTGTCTTTAAAATGTATATTTAATTGTCAATAGTTATTATAATTATTAGCTATTATTGAATACAAATTCATTATTTATTATTAATTAACATTTTATTTTTATCATTTGCGTTATTTTAAATTTATTAATAAACATATATTAATTATTTATAAATGTATTTAATATTTTATTTTAGTCCATTGTACTCTGATTGAAATGGCATGACTTTAGTTTATGATTATGTCCATAAATAGAAAAATTTATTAATTCATTACATGCATCCAACATTTAACATTAATCAAGATTAACAAAATACAACATTTTAATGTATTTTTAATATCTTGCAGTGTTATAGTTATCTTGTCGTATTTTAGTTATTTTTTTTCATTATGATAAAATTATTATATGTTGATTAAATCTGGTCAACAAACATTTTTGTCAGTAATTTTGCTGACCAGAGTAACACTGCCTATCATGCAAGCAGGTACAAGAATAAGAGTAACAGAAGACTAATTTTACAGATTCATTTACATATTCATTTAAACTACGCTCTTGCCATTTACAGACAGAAAAAAACATGACCTCAACTTCACTAAAATGACCGGATATCATGATCTCCAGTGATTTAAATGGCAAATGTTTCAGTAGGTCCCTCCCAAACGTTCTTGAGAGGTTTAAATTATGTTGAAATCTGGGTGTGAGATGTTCCGCTAGTGAAGAAACAGATGATTACCAGAGCTCTTGTGCTGCACTATACAGCCATTACAGCTGTACCAAACACGCTGTTGTCATGACATCACAACACAACTGTAGCTGTGACAATCTCACATTATAAGTGGGCCAGAGATAGAGACATGAATGTTAGTGGGGCTGGATGAGAGTGTCTCCTTCCTCATTCTACACTCAGATCTACACTACAGCGTTTCCAAGAAACGTTCACAAACTAGGCTCAACACTTTATTACGCCTCATTATCAAAGTCCCGTGACATCTTGTGAGGAACAATATCCACTCAGGCCTTACAATAAAAACTGTTGACAGAGGCAGACAGATTGTCTTGTGATTGTACAACAAACTAAAACTTTCTTTGAAGAGAATTAATTAAGATAGCCTACTTGTTGTAGTTAAGTAGCTAACACGTGTACATAAATGTATATGATCATATATGGCATCCTGACCTTGTTAAACACATTAAGGGTGAAGGTCAGATAAAGTGCAAGAGTGTTCTGTGACGGGCTTGGTTTGATTTGAGGATGACGCACTAGTTAGCATGTTAGAGCTGGGTCACATGAGTGTAAAGCTCAGGCAGTTCACAGATTTACTTTAACTCGGATGATTAAGTAGAGAAAATGAAGACATATGTACATAAAATCTTGTGAGGTACTGTAAGCATAGTTCCACTATCCATTAAACCCACTAACAAAACGGTTACGGTTGACTATGGCATTCTCACTGAGGCTGAATGTGGCCCAAATCTGATTTTCTGCTCAAATCTGATTTTTCTGTGAGGTTGCTGACATGACCCTTTAAATCTAGCCTGTATCAGATACTGTTTTGAACAGACAACACTCTTAAACTGATTTTTTGCTTATTCCGTAAAACACCCTGGCATGTCCAACAGAAGTAAATAGGTGGAGGCAATGCTACAATTCTACACTGAATAATGATAAAGGAAAAGAGATCAAAGTGATTCAAGAATTGTAATTCTTACATTTTTATCTCTTTGCCCTTATAATTAATCAATGTGCACAATAATGAGTGTGAGACTATTTATAATATTACAGTAATGAGAATTAAAAGTTTAATTATCATTAAGGTTATATATGCATACAGATGTATTCATAAGTTTGGTGTCAGTAAGTTAATTTTATTCAGCAATGATGCATTAAAATGATCAAAAGTAAATTCATTTATAATGTCACAAATATTTCCATTTAAAATAAACGCTGTTCTTTTAAATTTTCTATTGGAAAATTTGAAAAGAAATGGTTTCCACAAAAATCTCAATCAGCACAACCGTTTTCAACATTGATTTTAATAAGAAATGTTTCTTGAGTGCCAAATCAGCATATTAGAATGATTTCTGAAGTATCATGTGACACTGAAGACTGGAGTACTGGCTGAAAAGTTTTTATATTCATATTATATTTCATAATATTTATCTTTTACTGCATTTAAAATTTTTTTTTTTTTCCAGAATTTATCTTACGGACCCCAAACACTGGGGGTAGAATGTTAACTGAACATCTCTTTATGAGATTCACATGATTCTGATTCTTCTGTGCCTCACAGCATAGACCAGGCATATTCAAATGGCAGACCGCAGTCCGGGTCCAGACACAGGCTTGGATCCAACCGGACCATATTTTACCACCATTTTTCTAGATAAAGTGAGCAGCGAGTCAAAACAATGGAGCAGTTCACACCACGAGCGCTCAGGGTCGTTTATTGTAACAATCTATCGCCATTATATTCTCTAATATCTTTATCTAGATTCTAGATCCAAATGCGGTTCATGCAAGCCCTTCCCGTGCGCATTGCTTCTCTATAAAGACGCTAAAGCACCATTAAGAGCTGCCGATGACGTGGTTATTTTAACAACAGTAGCAGAAACATGGTGAGTGGCAAAATACATCGATACTTTTGCTAAAACACTGCAGAAAACAACTGCAAACCCTGCAAATATATCTGATCATTCAAACCAGGTTTGTGATAAGACAATTCCATCTACATTTAGCATTAATCAGCATGTTAAGAGCATTTTAAAATAAACTTATTTTAAAATGGCAAACTTTGAAATGACGAGTTAACTTTGTTTTCTGTGTATGACAAGAGCATTTTGATTATGTACATGTACACGTTTGTTTATTTTAGTAGATACTTATTTTAAGCAAAATATAAAAATGGTTCAAGAGAAAAACTCTGTCACATGGCCTTCTGCCTTACATGCATCTAAATGTAAAAATAATAATTGCTTGATAAAACATCTGATCTTATCTTTTAATATTCATATTTTATTGAGGTCAGGTCAACTGATGAAATATTTTAATAAATTTTTTCATTAAAAAAAAAAAATCTCAGATGCCCGTGCCCTTTGGCTCTGAGGAACCAATATCTTCATTTTTGATTATTACCTTGACTGTTTAGGTTTTTTCTTTCTCTTTTACAAAGCACTACTGGCGCCCAGATGGAAATTTCTCTCTCTCACTGATGATATTCTTAGCATTACATGACTTGTCAAGCTGATTGGTTCATGTTGCATTCGCAGCCAATGAGCTTGTTGCTTTACATTTAAATGGCTGATTAGCTTTCCTCTGAGTTCCTCTGAAACCCTCCACCTTCCCCAGCTCCACCTGTACAGATCTGCTACGGGTTATTTTATATGCTATTTGTGCAGCAGCAGTATGTCTTAAATACGCACAGCACCATATCGGCTTATGTATTGGCATTAGTAAGTTCCTGTACTTGCTTGCAGCAGCGATAATCTACAAAGACAGCAATAACCAACAACAGCAGCAATTCAGCAGCAGCGTAGCAGATCTATTCCACCAAGACCAAATACATTAACATTGTCATATCCATTACCATGCTAAAATCTTCCTAGAGTTCTCATGATAGATATATATATATATATAATATTGTCCGGACCTCCGCTGGGAAGGAAATATAGAGACTGGACCTCTTGAAACTTTAATTGAATACCCCTGGTATAAACCATCAGCCAGCACTACATTTCCCAGAATTCACCAGCTTCACTTTTCCTGATTAAAGTTCTGGTGAGATTTCCATTAGGAGTCAGGCACTTACAGCACTTTCCCCAGTGACCAATTACTCCATCACCATATGCTCATGCACTTTAAAGAAGACATGAACTGCATTTTTTATTTTTTATTTTATAATGTTCTCTGAGGTTCACATATAACATAATAACTTAGAAGTAATAGGCAATTTTCTATCCTGTTTTTGAGCCTCTCTGCAGAACAGTCGGTTTTTATAAGCGGGGCACATTCAAGACTTGCAAGTAAACGCCCACTGCTATGATTGGCTAACAGTTTTGCTTATCAAAACCTAAGAGTCAAATATAGAATATAATCTCCCTAAAAGTAAAAAATGAGGTAAGCCCATCTGCCATATTTCTTGTTCCATTATGCTAGGTGCCTCTGCTCACCACATTACGTAAATGGCTTATTCCTAATGCCTGTTCAAGAAACGTGTGGTTAAATTACAGGGAAATAGAGTGGCATGACATATTGAATTGGCTATGCAGCATCACTATCCATACCACAGTAATCATGTATTGGTTTATAGAATATTTACCCCATTAATGACTGTAAGAGGAGCGTTTTCATCTCAGAGAACATGTGAGCTGACAGTGAGCGAGCGGCCAGTCATCTGATCGTGAAGAAAGAAGCGTAGAAAAATAGCTTGGATGGAGGGAAAGTAAAAGCAGAGGTTGAGGTTGAGGGGCGCACAAGAATTGTAGCCTTAAAACAAACACAGACAGAGAGACCACAGAGAGACAGCCATACGGTCTCTAAGCGAGGTGGTACTCTAAAACAGAGATCGTTGCCAAGATAAAAAGAAAGAAAAAAGAAAATAATGAAAGGTGTGGGGTAGCCCGAAATGGAGAGTGAGAGTTGGACTGATAGCGCTGAACCATTATGGCTAGTGGCTGCTTTACAGCCCTGAGCTCTATGAATGATGGGAAGCTTAGGCAGAGAAGTGTATATAACTCAAACACGACATCTGAGAACAGAGAACAATGCACATTACATCTCGGCAGACCAATTTCTCTATGTGACACACCTCGTAATGGCTCGTATATATGGGCCTCTTGCTGCAACCGAGCCTTTGGCAATGGAGAGGGAAAAGCTACGAAATCAAGAAGAAAAGGTGCAACAGGTGCTTGGATCCTGTGGTGTAACATGTTAAAAGGAAGAATTCTGGGAAAACATTAGAGACTCACAACAACAATTCATTCAAAGCTACAACAAAGAAGCAACAGGCAGACAAAGAAAGACTACAAAGAGATGAAGGTGGTATGGAGTTAAAAAAGAAGTGTTCGAGAGAGAAAGAGAGAGCGTGTATGTAGTCCCTCTCTCTTAACTCTGGTTTCTGTGAAGTGTTTAATGTTTGGAGAGCTCTGCCAAAAACAATGACTTTCTTCTTCACTGAAGCTCCGTCCTGCAGAGAACTGACAGAGAAGCCGAGAGAGAGGAATGAATGAATGAATGAATGAATACTGGCAGAAATTAAAATGACAGAGGACTATGAATTTCTGGGGCGAACCTTGAAATACAGAGTGGAGAGAGTAGAAAATGTACCGAATGAAAAAACTGAACAAGGAGCTGCAGTGCAAGCAGTTGCCGTGGTTATAGTGGCGGTATATTACCTGCCATGATGCCTGCGTCCCGCAACACTAAGCTTAATGCACAATAGCACCCTGGTAGCTCACACACAACAGACTTTGTGTTCACCTCTTCCAGCATTAACAATCCCCACACTGCAGGCAATATATATTAGCCCAGGAACAGGAGAAATGCCTTTCGTCGAAAGCAAAAGAGCTCTATTGTATCCCAGTCACCCTTTATCAAGGCTTATTATCCAGATGGAGCCAATATTTTACCATCACAATAAAAAACTAAGTCTGCATTTTCTGAAGGAAATACCTGTGCTTGAAAGGCAGCAAAGGAATGGTGTTGAATCATCTCAATTAGTGTCTGTAAGAGAGATTACGCTTCACGTTCCCTTAAAATAACATAAAACCTCCAAGTGTTATAGTGTTGATGATGGTTGACTAGTCAATTTGTAAAGTCAACTAGTTTATCGACACAATTCCTACACTTCTTGAATACCCATGTTTGACTTTTTGCTTATTTAGAACTTTGGAGATTTATTTATTTATTTTTTTGGTTAGTTATTTTTTTTAAATTTCTTTTAATTTACAGGTTTTCCACAAGTTTGAGAACGCTGCATTTAGATTTTTTTTCTTTTACTTAATTTATTTTATTTTTGCACTACTGTTCAAAAGTTTGAAGTCGGTAAGAATTTTAAATGTTTTTGAAAGAAATCTTTTATGCTCACCAATGCTCCATTTATTTGATCAAGATACAATGAAAACAATAATATGTAATATTATTACAACTTAAAATAACTTATTTCCTGACTCTTTTTAACTCTGTTTGTTTTAATATTTTTTAAAATATAATTTATTCCTGTGATGACAAAGCTGAATTTCCAGCAGTTCAGTATTCAGAGTCCCATGATACTTCAGAAATCATTCTAATATGCAGATTTGGTGCACAAGAATCATTTCTAATTATCATCAATGTTAAAAATGGTTGTTTAATATTTTTGAGGAGACAGTGATAAATTTTTTCATGATTCTTAATGAAAATAAAGTTCAAAAGAACAGCATTTATTTAATTAAACACATTTTTTGTAACATTATAAATGCCTTTATGATCACGTTTGATCAATTTTTAATGAGTCTTTGCAGAATAAAAGTATACATTTTTTATTCTTCTGATTACAGAAGTTGCATCTTTAAATTCATCCCCTTTAAAGCATCCCAGTCACAGCCACACACATTCAGACAGACGTCTTAGGCTGTTGCGTCACTTCTAGCACTGTTTTTGGAGCATCCTGCCACAGGCTTGCATTTTTAAGACAACGTGTCAAATTAAAAATAGTCTAACTTTTAAAATATGCATCTTGATACACCTTCATTCTGTTCTATCTAGCTGTTTTTGAATGCAAAACGTGTCTTATGCAAACACTCCCTGAGAAACTAGTCTGATCAGGATCAGGTGAACTTGAAATGAGTCTCGATAAACAGAGCTTTCTTGCCAATTATATATCACAATGGGGCGGGCTTACCATCATCCCATCTGCCGTCAGGGTCGACGGTCCCATTAGGGTCATCATCAGGGGCCACACTGTCACAGTCAGCCCCGTCCAGGAGACTCCCTTCCTCCTCCACGATGTGAAGCTTATCGTCATCATCTGAGTCTGACTGGCCCTCCAGCACATGACTGTAGTTACTCACTGCAAAGACACAGAGAAAACACAACACTTAAAGAGAATGCTAACATATGGAGCCTGCAAGTGCTTGCAAACCGCAGAAGGCTTGATGAAACCCTTGAATTCTGGAAAGACGCTGCTGGTGAAAATGACTACAAGATTAAAGAGAGACACAGCAGCTCAGATGAAACCAATTGTTGAAGCGGGAGAGATGACTAAAGAGATGTAGAGAGATGAAGTGTACTTAAGGGAATAATTCAGTTAAATGCCAAATAGTAGTGGAGCAGCTCCTGCGTTTTTCAGTGAGTCAATGAAACAAGACAAAGAATCACTTGAGATTGAATCAATAAATCAGAATGGCTCGTGTTAAAACCATTTGTGGCCACACGGTCCGGTGTGGACACAGTCAGACGGTGTAATCATATCATCTCTAACATGTAATGACGATCAAGGTGCTGTAATTGTGAGATCATTACTGTACAATACTAGAAACATATCTTCTTATAGGTGTGCCTTTTGTAATGATTAAATGCCTCTTTACTTTTTTGACAAAGAGGAGGGACAGGTTGACCTCCATTTCAGCAGCACAAGAAAGAGAGAGAGAGATCGAGCTAAAACACCATTGATTTTCTGTAACAGGCCAGACGGCCTTAATTAGTAATGTGTGTGTTTGCATGCTAGGCTAAGTGTGATTTGACATTCTATTAAAACAGCGGATGACGGAGCGGTAAGCTCACCTAACACGTTCTCATTCTGTAAAGGTAAGTGCTGGCAGGACAAGGCCTCTAATGGAGCATGCATAAATCAAGCAGAAATTGAATGCTCGGATTTATAAATTCAGCTAAAAGGGAGACTTTTCAAACCCAGCGACAGGAAACATCTAGCACTTCTATATGTCTCGGATTGAAGAGTTTGTGGCCACCTGAGGAATCTGTATTATTTTTAGGGATGGGCATTCCAAGCAAAAATAATATTCGAAAATCGCTGGGTATTATTCGACTATTATTCGAAAATCACACCCCTCCCCCACATGCACGCACAAACACCCATAAACAGAGATAGAGGGTGTGTGCGTGAGACAATGTCTTCTTTGACAGCTTTTAGGTGCGTTATTGGCAGCGCAACATGAACGCGTCACCACCGCATCAGCACGGAAAACATGGGGAAATTTTTTAAGACAATAATCACACAACCTATTCGATATTCTATAATTAAATCAACTAATCGAATATTCGAAAATCGTGACCCATCCCTAAAATAGTTAACCCAAAAATGAGAATTCTTTCATCATTTACTCGCCCTGTGTTGTTGTTACTTCTGTGGAACAAAAATATCCATATAATGAAAGTCAGTGGGGTTCAATGTTCTTTTGGACCCCACTGACAAAAACAGCTGAAACATTCTTCTAAATATCTTTTTATATTCCACAGAAGAAAGTTTTGCAAGTTTGGAGAAAAGTGAAGGTGAGTAAATGTTCCAAGAGCATGAACTATCCCTTTAATTGGTAAAAAAAAAAAAAAATTCCATTAATTTTTCCTAATACAGGTATCCACACATGCACACATCACACAATGAATATGACGCAAGAGACTGGTAGTGATTATCATCGTAATATGTGTGAATCCTTGTTGACCATACACAGCAGGTGTGTATTTTTTTTTTGCAGGGAAAGGAATAGGTGTGGTGAAAAACCTTCCTCGTCCTCCTCCTCTCTCTCCATTTCTCTTGCTGTTCTCACTCTCCGTCATTCTTCTTTTCCACTCATCTAAGTACATCTCTCTGGCCAAATCAATTTTCCTTTGAGAGGAGCAAAGTCAGCAGAGGGGCTGGCCGTAGATTCACACACACACACACACACACACACACACCTCTTCTACTGGGCTTATCTGGCACATTTACATTGAGCTGATTTTGTGCTTTTTGTTGCACACGTTAACCAACTCTCTCTCTCTCACACTCTCAATCTTTGTTTATTTCTCTGGGCTGCACTTTCATTCTCCACCTGTTCTGTGCATGTACAAACCTCTTAACCTCTTTCTTTCAAGCTCCATCTTTGGTTTTAAGGTCATGGATCACAGCAAAGACCTGTGGTGTCTATATATGTACCTGAAAGTAGAGTCTCAATGTAGCTGTGGTTGAAAAAAAGCTGTCAATTAACAAAATGAAAAGAAAAGTGTCACACAATTATAAAGATAGACCCATCGCTCACTAGCCACAAGTTCTATCAAACCTATCCGAGTGATGCACGGATCACCACAACAGTCAATTCGGTGTACTGTGAAGGAGATGCTACCAATCCCATCAGGCTGTTCAGCCAAGGGAAGCAAGCGGTGTGGCTAGTCAGCAGAAGTAAGAAGTAAAGGGACAGCAGAGAGTGTGAGAGCTCACTGTGAATGATCCATGACAAACAGCCACGAGCCTTGTTCCGCCGTTCCACATGAGAGATTTCATTACAGCCTTCAGGAGGTACACACAGGAAAGGTGACTAAATAAACGCTTTACCAAGAAAGGAATAGCTCACATTATGCAGGAGCTATAAGCTAAAACTGTGTAAAGGCACGGGAAGAACAAACTCTACTAAATAAAAATACATACAAGACAGCATGAAACATTTAACATCTGTGCCTCAAAATAGAAAAGTCAGAGCTCAGAAAAAAAAAGTAAATAAATAAAAAATAAAGATTACTATGCATATTTTTTTTTTAAATGTCTGGCCCTTAGGTATTTTCTGGCCAGGAAAAAATAAAAATAAAAATCTGTATATCATTTTGTGAAAAATTCTTATTTTCTCTCTTATTTCTTATTTAATACATTTCTCCTATATGAATTTCTGCTTTACTTTGTACAATACTTTGGAACAATATTTCTAGTGAAAAGCACTATACAAATACATTTGCATGAATATGCTTTTAAACAGAAATTAAATATTTAATAAATGAAATAGAAAGTATATATTTTCTGGATAATATTTTAATGATTTGTTTGGATTTATTTAGCCTAATGACAATATAAAAGCTAATTTAATATAGGAAACCACCTTTTGTCTTTAAAATATCACTTGCTTTCTCACACAGTATACTACAGTTCAAAAGTTTGCAGTCAGTAGAACTTTTTTTTAAGAAATGCATATTAATACATTTATTTAGCAAGGATGCATTAAACTGATCAAAATTTACATTTATCAAAGAATCCTGAGAAATAATATATGCCCGTTTCTACAAAAAATATTAAGCAGCAAAACTATTTTTAACATTGATAATAATAAAAAAAATAGCTTCTTGAGCACAAAATCAGCATATTAGAATGATTTCTGAAGGATCATGTGACACTGAAGACTAGAATAGTGGCTACATTTTTAAACCGAAAGAACAGGAAATGATGGGGGAAAGGCATACTGAACTACAGCTCATTGTATTTTTAGCATGCACGCTAACCACCAGGCAAGGCTCTACTATTACTCCCTTATATAAATGCTTGCTAAATGTATTTCCTATCTCTTAAAATATCACATACACTTGTCCAAACACTGACATTCCTCCGAAAACTTCAATGATCTTTGCGTGTGTTGTCGGCATGCACAGCACTATGAATATGTCAAGTCAGCCTATGAAACCATTAGCCTAATGAGTTTACATTCCTACTAGTCAATCAGTTTTGCAGCTATGCCTCATCTATGGATTTTACAATTAACCCAGTGAAGTGATGTGTTGACTGGGCAAAAACTGGCCTCCAATCTGCTACTCTGTAATACCTGTATGATAAAGGCTGAATTCCCAGAACTCCAGGTGATTCTCAGAAGGTTCTATTTAAAGCAAACACAATCAAGACCCCTTAATACCCCATAGGGCATTGCCAGTGACATCTGTCAAGGCACACCGATAAATGCCTCTAAAAGCGATCACTAAACAAGTACACATTTACATTGCGACTCACCTGGGCAGAGCTCAACTGCTTGTTAGCAGTACAGTACATCAAAAATATGGAGCCTTTAAATAATAAATCGAGCCTTCACCCATTTAAACTCCAGCTCAGATAAAATACACATGAGACTCTGAGGCAGACAAGAGTTATTGATTTGTCATTTAAGAAGGTGAGCTGCAGGTTTCCCATGAGTCTTTGCCACTAACAACATTCTCATCTGCTATTTACCCTCTCAATCTCTATGTAGAGGTTATTCAAGCACAAGCACGATGTGATTTAGAGAAGTAGGACATATTACTGGATCAAAATTAACAACAAAATCTAGCAACTGATATTAAAATTTGCTACTATATTGTCCAAACAAATGTAAAAAAAATCTAAGAACAAAAATAAATCATTTTAAATGCTACAAGTGAATTTAGGTGTCATAACATTATAATATACAGCATGAAAATAGATATTCATTTTAAAAAAGTGTTATTAACATAAGTATTCTTAAAGATCAACTTTAAGGAAGCATAAGATGAGTACAAAGGTAATCTAAATGTAAAAATACGGGAAATGAGTACAAGCATAATCAAATTTACAATGTTAAAAGATAAAACAAGAATAAATTACATTTTTAAAATATATTAAAATTGGAAACAATTATTTTAAACTCATAATATTTCACAATACTACAGTTTTTACTGTATTTTTGATCAAATATATGCAACCTTGGTGAGCATAAGAGACTTGTTTCAAAAACAAAAAATCTTACCAACCCTTAACCTTTGAACACTATAAATATCCTATAATAACCAATACCGATTAAATAACACATATCGTACTGATATATTGTGCATCCCTACTAATGTATTGAAAACATGAATGCATTAAATACATAAATCTTCTGACCTTTGCATAGTTTGCAATTTTAAGAAGATACACAGAATTAGCCAGTAAGAATCAAATGTGCTAAGAGAACAAACAGTGCGTTAAATCTTTCAGGAGTGTCTCTTCTGGAACACTCTCTGCAGAACATATTAATCATTGTGGCCTGTGGTGTAAGAAAATAATCGCTGGGGCACACTGATACCTCGCTCAGGATTCTGTTCATGGGA